AATTTCTTTATTCATTATGTTATGCTCACCACAAGTATAGATGAAAATGTATCTTAATACAACCATTTAAAAATATGTTTTAAAGTTTAGTTTACATAAAAATGACTGCTTAATCTTGTCAAACAGCTCTTAATAGTTCCCTGAACTGTTTCTTTTAGTGGTGTCTGTTTTTGTGCCAGTACCATACTGTCTTGATGATGACAGCTTTGTAATAGAGCTGGAAGTACGGAATTGTGATGCCGCCAGCTTTGCTTTTCTTTTTCAACATTCCTCTGGCTATGCGGGGTCTTTTCTGGTTCCATACAAATTTTAGGATTATTTGTTCCATTTCTTGGAAAAAAGTGGATGGTATTTTGATGGGGATTGCATTGAATGTGTAGATTGCTCTAGGTAGCATTGACATCTTCACAATATTTGTTCTTCCAATCCATGAGCATGGAACGTTTTTCCATTTCTTTGTGTCTTCCTCAATTTCTTTCATGAGTATTTTATAGTTTTCTGAGTACAAATCCTTTGCCTCTTTGTTAGATTTCTTCCTAGGTATCTTATGGTTTTGGGTGCAATTGTAAATGGGATCAACTCCTTAATTTCTCTTTCTTCTGTCTTGTTGTTGGTGTATAGGAATGCCACTGATCTCTGTGCATTGATTTTATATCCTGCCACACTACTGAATTCCTGTGTGAGTTCTAGCAGTTTTGGGGTGGAGTCTTTGGGGTTTTCCACATAAAGTATCATATCATCTGCAAAGAGTGAGAGTTTGAATTCTTCTTTGCCAATTTGGATGCCTTTGATTTCTTTTTGTTGTCTGATTGCTGTGGCTAGGACTTCTAATACTATGTTGAATAGCAGTGGTGATAGTGGACATCCCTGCCATGTTCCTGACCTTAGGGGGGAAACTCTCAGTTTTTCCCCATTGAGAATGATATTCGCTGTAGATTTTTCATAGATGGCTTTTATGATATTGAGGTATGTACCCTCTATCCCTATACTCTGAAGAGTTTTGATCAAGAAAGGATGCTGCACTTTGTCAAAAGCTTTTTCTGCATCTATTGAGAGGATCATATGATTCTTGTTCTTTCTTTTGTTAATGTATTGTATCATGTTGATTGATTTGTGGATGTTGAACCAACCTTGCAGCCTAGGAATAAATCCCACTTGGTCGTGGTGAATAATCCTTTTAATGTACTGTTGGATCCAATTGGCTAGTATTTTGGTGAGAATTTTTGCATCCGTGTTCATCAAGGATATTGGTCTGTAATTCTCCTTTTTGATGGGGTCTTTGTCTGGTTTGGGGATCAAGGTAATGCTGGCCTCATAAAATGAGTTTGGAAGTTTTCCTTCCATTTCTATTTTTTGGAACAGTTTCAGAAGAATAGGTATTAATTCTTCTTGAAATGTTTGGTAGAATTCCCCTGGGAAGCCATCTGGCCCTGGGCTTTTGTTTGTTGGGAGGTTTTTGATGACTGCTTCAATTTCCTTAGTGGTTATCGGTCTGTTCAGGTTTTCTATTTCTTCCTGGTTCAGTTTTGGTGGTTGATATATTTCTAGGAATGCATCCATTTCTTCCAGGTTATCTAATTTGCTGGCATACAGATGCTCATAATATGTTCTTATAATTGTTTGTATTCTTTGGTGTTGGTTGTGATCTCTCCTCTTTCATTCCTTATTTTGTTGATTTGGGTCATTTCTCTTCTCTTTTTGATAAGTCTGGCCAGGGGTTTATCAATCTTGTTAATTCTTTCAAAGAACCAGCTCCTAGTTTCGTTGATCTGTTCTACTGTTCTTTGGGTTTCTGTTTCATTGATTTCTGCTCTGATCTTTATTATTTCTCTCCTCCTGCTGGGTTTAGGCTTTATTTGCTGTTCTTTCTCCAGCTCCTTTAGGTGTAGGGTTAGGTTGTGTATTTGAGACCTTTCTTGTTTCTTGAGAAAGGCTTGTATTGCTATATACTTTCCTCTCAGGACTGCCTTTGCTGCATCCCAAAGATTTGGAACAGTTGTGTTTTCATTTTCATTTGTTTCCATGAATTTTTTAAATTCTTCTTTAATTTCCTGGTTGACCCATTCATTCTTTAGTAGGATGCTCTTTAGCCTCCATGTATTTGAGTTCTTTCCGGAGAACTGTTGGAAAGTTTTGAGCAAAGGAGTAACATAATCTGAATTTGGTTTTACCAGTATCACTTTGATATGTTCAAAATTAACTAGGATGGTAAAGGTGGAAGCAGGGGACAGACAGGCTAGGATGTTACTATAGAAATCTAGGTAAGAGGTGATGATGGTTTGGGCTGGATCTTTGCTTTAAGATTACTTTGGCAATGAGGAGAGAATGGAAACGGAGGTAATTACTAGGAGGCTGTTTCCAGGGATTAGAATCTAAAATGGAATAGTTTGTATGCAAATGAAGAAGAAATTGCAGAACATATACTGTGGGACTTAACAACTGCTTGGCTATAGGTAATGAAGGAGTGACATGGAAGTCTTAAACCTGGATAAATGGAATGTGGATATTACCATTAACATAAATGTTACTTACCCTCCTTTTTGAAAGTCTGTTCTGATCCTCTGAAACAGCATTTTTACCCCTTTGTGCTCATGTATTTCCATTGGTTATAATGGAACTCACTTTTCCTCCTGCCGTCCTCCTTGAAAGCTTAGAGAAATGGTTTGACTCTTAGAATTGTGGCAGTATTAAGAAGTAATTAGGAAGGTAAAATTTAAGAATTCTTTTCCATATACATTTTATGTGGATTATAACCAATTAGCCACATGTGAGTTCAGTAGATTACATGTAAGACATGTAATCTTGGCAAGGACTTTGGGTGCCAGGGAATGCTCTTTGGTAAGATGCTTGACTTCCTGGGTAATGATGGAAAAAGGCAGTTACCTAAACGGGATATCTGTGAATTTGAGATTACCATGAACTGTTTCAATTCAGTAATTCAATCTTAATATACTAGATCTTGATTATACTAACTGAAAAGTTTATATGTTGACTGAGAGTTAGTGTGTAGTCATAACCAGATAGATCTATGGTCCGGGCAGGTAACTTAGCTTCAGTTTCATAATTTGTAAAATGAGAGGTTTTGACCAGATCATCTTAAATTCCTTCCAACTTTAATATTCTCTAACTCTGTACTGTGAGATTAAGTATGGACAAAAAAGTTAATTTCAGAAAAACAAGTGGGGTTAGAGAAGAAAACTCAAATTTCTTCCCATAAGATGAGGTAGAAATATAACTAGCAATACTTTTTTTCTTGTTTCTGTCCCCCCTGACCAAACTGTCACCATACATTCAATTGAGATAAAAATTTAAAGCATTCTAGACATATTTGTACCTTAAGCTAGATAATTTGACTGAATCAAATTATATTTTCCCTTTACATTCTCACTTTGAAGATACAGATGTGTCTTTGAGTTTATATCTCCAAAGGATAGAAAGAAAAGAAGTAATTGCTTGAAGAACTGTATAATCTGCCTACTAAAACAACAGGTGGACCGGTACATATCTGGATGGTGGCATGGCATCTGAGAATTTGACATTTCTCACTCTGATTTTACATTACAGGCAATCATGAAGCTTGCCATTGTACATAAAGATTTTCTTTAACTCAGTATGAATATTAAAGAGGAAATATGTAGAGATAGTCCTGTGTGAATTAATCTCTATTAAAATGGCTTCAGTTCTGATGTGAATATTCACCCTTCTTTTTCTCTAGGCAATAAAATTTGATTGGGGTGTGAAGACATAGTACAAAAATGTAGAAGTATAGGTTTCTGAGGGAATCAATGGATTAAAATTAGAAAAAGAACTATACTTATAATAGTGTATTTGTCCCAGCTGATCCAGAGGAGAATGATCCTTTACAGCATTTGGTTGGTGGTGTTTGAAGACAATTTCATGAGATCCTGAGACCAAATAATTTTCACTTACTTAGAACTCATAATGAATTCTCCTTACCAGTGAGATGACCACATTTTTCTTAGTAAAAAGGGTTGTGAGCAAGCTTGACAAAGTTGATGCACATCATTCAGCTTCTGTTGTAAGACATAAATGCATAGGATGTGGCAGAAAGATTAATTTCAATTCTTAACTGGTGACTTTTAAAAATCTCTTTCCTTCCTAATCAAAATTTTTATTAGTATTGCAGCATATTTATAATATAATACCTGCCCTTCATGCTGATCATATGTTATTATAAGATCTTGAATTACCTTCTCAATCATGGAAGATTACTAAATTATTATTACTTTGCTTTATTGTAATATTGCTTTATTACTTTAGTATTGCTGTACTCTAATCAAATAGTGGTGCCCATTTTGACGTGTGGTAGTTTTTATTAACCACTGTATTTTATTAACTAAGATATACCATTTTAAGTGCTTCGCAGCATTAGAAGTAGAAAACCACATGCAAAAAACAAGTGTTGGAATTTTTGAGAAATGGACATATGTTAACAGAATCTGTTAATTCAATTTTATCTAGAATATTTATAAAGATGTCCTTTATCAGATGTAACTGAATTCTAGATTCAGCTGTTTCATTTTATTTCATTAATATTAAATGTGACATTTTTCCTATTTTTAAAAATTTATTTTAAAAGGTGATTCATTCTAAAACTTTGAAAAAACTTGAAAGGGCTTATGACTTTGCTATATCTTTTCTCATGTTTGAGCACTATGGTGATGATGTCTGATCCAAATCTGACTTGGGGACCTTGCTAGTCATCTTTAAAAACAAATAGCACCGAATTCAATAAATCACTATCAACTTAAAAAACAAAACAAAACAAATAGACACACCCATCCAAATCTTCATTTTTAATCCTTAAAGAGTTTTTTTCCTTTTGTAAAGAACGTATGTGGTTATATATTTAAACTTTTGATAATTCTTTTTGATTAGTTATAATTAATAAAATAAATGGGTATCAGTTATTAATTTGTATGATCTATGAATTTCTCTTATCTGACAGGTATTCTTTTTTTTCCTTTTGGTTTTAATAGAACATTCAAATAAAAACTTTGGCAGATGATGTGGTAAGGTCTTAGTAGCATGTTGTTATGTTACTTATGCATGTTGCCTATTTTACTAAAGTGGGTGGACATTAAAGCATTGATATATGTAAGATATAAAATATCTATATCTAGATGTTTACAAAGTACAGTATAATGGAAGATTTGTCAAGAGAGTGACTTTTCTTTTTATGGCTATTAAAGAATTATATGAGAGCTAAATAAAATTTTGATATTATCCTGATATATACCTTAACCAAAATTTTTTTTGTATATAAATCTAACTCTGGAAAATACAGATTTTTTCTTTTTTGATAGCCAAGTAAACTGTGACTAAGTAAAAGATTAATATCAGTATTGGGGGAAATTAATTTAAAGTAGAAAGGAAGCTAAGTTTATCATGTTAGATATGTGCTTTTAAATTTAATATTCTTAAATATTTTGAGCTGAGGCTATCATAGTAAAACTTATTAAAAGTTATGGGCTTAACATTTAATTAAGTGTGCCCTTTTATAGCTAAACTTTTAAAATACAGTATTTTAAGCAGTGTCAATTTTTTTCTTTGTGAAATTACAAATAATGTAAAATATTGGTGATTCAAGGAGGTGGAAGCGTATAGCTTAACTTCATTTTCTTATCAAGTTATTGCTGAAAGCAGAAGCCTATTTTCTAGATAGAAATGAAGGGCATAGTGGAAGATCAAGTATATATGTAAATAATGCTACTCAGTAAAAAGCTTGCACTACAAAAGTGACATGAAGGGACAGGAACAGAGATACATTGATTTAATGGTCGATTGCATATTTAAGTGCTTTTATGTCCACCATATTTTTTAGTGAAATTCGACTGTTGGATATTACTCAAGCTTATTTGGGATTACTTTATATTTTTCTTGAGTTGTTTGAAAATACATATCTAAACCAACTTAATTTCCCTCAAAGAGTTAAAAGAAAATTGGAATATAGTTCAAGATAATTTGAAGAAATGAATCTTAATGTGAACAGTGGGATGGGAACCAGGGACTTATAAATTTAGAGAGTCATTTTTTCTGTGAAATGAGAGAGTTGGTTTAGATGATTTTTCAAATTTCTTCCCAGCTCTAAAACACTGTGATTTATATAATCTCTTTGTAGGAAACCATGTACTAAAATAATTTTTGTAATCCTAAATAAGCTACATAAAACTCATATTTCTTTCAAAGTACAGCTTTCAATTAAAAAAAAAAGTGTTTTTTGAATCAAAATGAAAAGTATGTTCTTTTAATGGGAAGGGAGTCAACAGAAATTTATGTAAATTGCTGTAATAACTTCTGTGATACAATTTGTATTGTTGAAACAATTTATAAGGACTCAGTAACATGGCAGTGAAGATTACTGTCCTCGCATCTAACGTGTGCTTGTTTAACATGAGTTGATGGTATGCATGTGCTTTCTAACAGAAACCAGAATAAAACTGAGTTACATTCAGTTTTATGGACATTACTAATTTTTGAGGTCTAATGTTTTGTGGTTTAAAACAGATTGGGGTGTTTACATGTACCTGCAGTCATTAACACACTTTATGTGAAATAGCAAGCTAATTATTAGAGATTGCAGTCATTAACACACTTTATGTGAAATAGCAAGCTAATTATTAGAGATTATGCTAAGTATTAGAGATTGTACATGGAATCAAAGTTTCAGAGTCAATATCCATAAAACATCAAGTTCTTCATAATAGTATTTGTAGGAATAAGCTATTCCTATGTATGTTAACATTGCCATTAAATGGAAAAGGTGATGTCTTGTTATCCCCAGTTTCTAGGGAAAAAAAGCAAGGGACATAATAGTAACATCAACAATAATAATAAATAGCAGCTAAGTGCACTAAACATATCAACTTATTTAAATCTCAGAATAACTCTGTGGTATAGGTAATATCATTATTTAACATATATTAACTTGTTATCTGTATTTTAAAGACTATTTATTTATTTTAGAGAAAGAGAGAGAAAGAGAGAGAAAGAATCTCAAGTGGACTCCACACTGAGCATAGAGCCCTTCATGGGGCTTGATCTCATGACCCCTAGATGATGACCTGAGCCGAAATCAAGAGTTGGACACTTAACCGAAAGAGCCACTAGGCGCCCATTGTTATCCATATTTTAGAGATTAGGAAACAGAACGCACGTAATTTGCACAGGGTTCCTCAGCTAGGAAAGGGCAGATTCAAACCCAGGCAGTGTGGCTTCAGAGTCTATGTTCTTAACCATTATACTCAACCACTATGTGACAAAGTACATAGATACTTGTCACAATTTTTGGCGCTTTGAAGAGTGAAACATTACTGTAATTTCCCCCTTAGAATTGAATATTGGGGCTCTTTTTTTTTTTTTTAATTTATTTTTTATTCTTATGTTAATCCCCATACATTACATCATTAGTTTTAGATGAAGTGTTCCATGATTCATTGTTTGTGCACAACACCCAGTGCTCCATACAGAATGTGCCCTCCTCAATACCCACCACCAGGCTAAACCCATCCTCCCACCCCCCTCCCCTCTAGAACCCTGTTTGTTTTTCAGAGTCCATCGCCTCTCATGGTTCGTCTACTATTGGGGCTCTTTTTATTTCCTTTCTTTATTTCTCATAGTTCAAAAGTTGCCACCAAAGCTACATTTTCCCTTAAACAACCACATGACTTTGATGCAGGACTTTTTTTTACCTACTTACTGTATAAAACAGAAATAAGAAGGGACTAAGGTTTACTTTTGAGGAATACTTTTCACACCTCAGACTGGAGACTGAAGAACTACTACAAGTTTAAAAAATTGTACAATCTCTAACTGGAGCTTGTTGCTTAAAATAAGAGTTTGTCAAAAGACAATAATGATATATATTATACTAAGTGCCATTTTGATGTTTCAGTACTTTGTATTTGTGATTCTGGGTCTCTCTCTTAGAGTTTCTTACTTTTTTCTTTGTAGCGTGACCGAATTACAAGTTTTAGAAAATCTACTGTCAAAAAAGAAAAACCTCTTATTCAACATCCTATTGATTCTCAAGTTGCAATGAGTGAGTTTCCAGCAGCTCAGCCATTATATGATGAACGATCTTTGAATTTGTCAGAAAAGGAAGTACTGGATCTCTTTGAAAAAATGATGGTAAGTTAGACCCCTACTTTTGTTGTAATTTTAAAATTTGTGTGTCCAAAGTAGCATGGGGTTTTAAGTAGGTATGTTTTTATGGACTGTTTTTTTTTTAAAGATTTTATTTATTTATTTGACAGAGAGCCAGCGAGAGAGGGAACACAAGTGGGGGAGTGGGAGAGGAAGAAGCAGGCTTCCCACTGAGCAGAGAGTCCGATGCAGGGCTCGATCCTAGGACCCCCGGATCGATGCCCTGAGCCGAAGGCAGATGCTTAATGACTGAGCCACCCAGGTGCTCCTGGACTGTGTTTATATCATGTAAAAGAGACCAGAAGCCTGTTGATACAACAGAACTATTTTCAGAAGTATCTGTTTTTTGAACAAAACATCCTAACCTATTACTTCTATAGTGAGCTCCAGAAAGCAGGGGCTCTCTTATTTATTTGGGTTCTCTAGTATTTTGTAATCTCTGGCACATTGAATCAATTTTTTAATTAATTTGTGTTTCTGTTTCTGTGAAGTAAAACAGGCTAAATTTCACTTTGCTGAAAACAACACAAGGTATCTTGTTGGGTATATGAAATAGAGTTGGGAAGACAGAGGGTAAAACAAAAACAAAAACATAGAGGAGAAACAATGCCTGGGAAGAGAAGATGGCAGTGGAGTAGGAGGACCCTAGACTTAACTCGTTCCATGAACACAAGTAGATAACTATCAAATCATTCTTAATACCTCAGAAATCAACCTGAAGGCTGACAGAACAAACTCCACAAATAAAGGGAGAGAAGAAGCCACATCAAAGAAGGTAGGAAGTGCAGAGATGTGGTTTAGGGGGAAAATGGATCAAAGCTACTGAGGAGGGGAGGGAACTCTGGTCTGGAGAAGGGCTAGAGAGAGAGAGAAAGAGAAGCACATGGGGGGATGTACATGGAGAATGTTTCCCCAAAGCTATTGGCTTTGGAAAACAAGAGGGGCTGAATTTCATGAGTTCTTGCAACCAGTAGGGATTAAAGCCTGGAGTTTTGGAAAGTGAGCAAGCTTGGCTGGGATAGAGCCCTGAGGGCACCACCCTGCTCCTGGAGAGAAGGCAGGCAAACAACCCAAGGACAGATGGCGTGGAAACAGCGATCTGAAGAGCACCTGGAATGCATGCGGATTATTCGCTATCTCCTGAGCTTGTCCCTGAGAGGCAGCATTCACTGAGCTACCTCTCTGGGAACAAAGGAGCTGGCTGGAGCCATTCCCCTCCCCCACACATAAGACCGTAAAAAGTGAACCAACTGCTGGAAGCAGCACAGCACCAACACTGGCTGCATAATTTGCTTACACCAGCATAAACTTCTGACCTCACCACATTTCCTGACCAGAGAGTTTTGCAGGGCCTCAGTTCCAGTGGAGGTGGTGACTCACTTCACAAGCAGACCAGAGCACACCTGGTTAAACTTGCCACATTCAGGCCAGGGACCAACACTGCCCACAGCAGGCAAGGAGAGCTTTTGGAGAATACTGGCCTGAGGGATAGAGCAGCCCCAAAACAACAGCAGAGTAGATGCAGCACATACCATAGACATTCCCTGAAGCTTCAAGCCTTGAGCACTACATGACCTCTTCTTCATAAGGCGGTTACTTTCAGGAGGAGGAGACATAACTGGCTTTTTTAACAGGAAGAAGACAGAGACTTAGAGAAAATGCAAAGATGAAGGAATTTATCCCAAATGAAAGAACAAGATAAGGTCTCGGCTACAAATCTAAGTGAAGCAGATACAAGTAACATGCTTGATGGAGAATTTAAAGCAGCAATCATAAGGATACTCACTGGGATTGAGAAAAGAATAGAAGACATCGGTGACAGCCTTACCACAGAGATAAAACATCTTAATTGACCTAGCAGTAGCAATTGAGACAGTTGATCATTCTCTCCAATTTGAAATGATTCCCCCCTCCCATACCCCCCAACATTGATTGGGTTTTCCTCCTGCTTCTTTGGCAGCTTCTTTTCAGTCTTCTTTGCTGATTCCTTTTCATGTTCTTAACCTTTAAAGTAGAGGCCCAGGAATCAGTGCTTAGACATCTTTTCCTCTCTACGTTATCTTCTTTGGTAATTACAACCAATACTGTGCTTTTAAATCCCATTTGTGTGCTCACAATTCTCAAATTTACCTCCATCTTAGTCCTCATGTCTGAACTCTAGACTCATATATCAATTCGAAATCAACATATCCATCTGTCCAGTTACTCAGGCCAAAATCTTTGGAATTGTCTTTGACTATTTTTTTTCTTACCTTTAATTCATTTTGTAACCCATTAACTCTTCATTCAAAGTAATTCAAATTCATTTTGTAACCCATTAACTCTTCATTCAAAGCTTGGAATAGCTGACCATTTCTTAACTACCTTGACTGTTCCCACACTAGTTGAAATCTTAACCTGGGCTGCCACAATAGTGGTAGGACTATAGGACTACTACTATTAATTGATTTCCATGTTTCACTGTGACCCTCTACAGTATATTTTCAATAGACAAGTATTATCCATTTAAATCCTGAACAATATCATATCAGTTGGCTTATCAGATCTCTCCCATGGCTCCCATTTCACTTGGTGTACAAAAGTCAGTACACTTATAATAGCCTATAAGGCCCTATATGATCTGATCCCCACCTTACCTCTTCAATATCTTTCTGTGCTACTCTCCCCATTTGCTCACTCTGTATCAGAGATGCACCTGCCTTTTTCCTAATTGTAGCCCTAGGAAAACAATGATTCTTGGTAGTTTCTAAATTTTTCAATTTGTGTACAGTGTTTATAGTGTTTTAACACTTTTTATAACATTTCTGTTTTGTGGTTTGAATATTCTAATGTTTATTGAGAATATTATCACTTTCCTCTTTAAATGCGTGTTTTTTTAAAAAAGATTTGTGGATTCATAAATGTGATTTAAAGAGGTACAACTTAGAGCCACGTTTTCTCTATTGGGAATTTTTCTTTCCATGGGGAATTTCAGAATAGGAAGTTAGATAAATATGATTTGATTAAAAGTAACCAAAAGATCAATAAATATTTTTTAAGGATTGTATCTCTTCTTTGAGAGAAGTCTACTTGTACATTGAACATTATGTATTTTCTGTTATCTTTAGTTTGACCATAATTAATTTATAGTGAAGAAGTTATTTTATGAATTATCATAGCTTTCACTTACTATGCACTTACTGGCCAGGCATGTAACTAAATAGTTTATACGTGTTATTTCAGTTGATCCTTATGAAAATGCCACAAAGTAGGCAACATATTCCATTTTTAGATAAGGAAATTGAAGCTAAGAGAGAGTCTGAACAAATTGGTTCTGTAACTTGCCTAAGCTGGTAAGTGGCTGAGCTGGAACATAAATTTAGGTACATAAAAATGTAAAAAAATGGCATTTTTGTAGCATCTATCTTTTTTTAAAAAGATTTTATTTATTTATTTGAGAGAGCGAGAGAGAGAGAGCACAAGCAGGAGGAATGGCAAAGGGAGAGGGAGAAGCAGGCTTCCCGCGGAGCAGGGAGCCCAATGCGGGGCTCGATCCCAGGACCCTAGGATCATGACCTGAGCTGAAGGCAGATGCTTTATCAACTGAGCCATCCAAGTGCACCTTGTAGCACCTATCTTTAATAATGTTTCATTTAAGCTAAATATAAAATTAATACATTTTCCTTGTACATATACTCAGTGGAAGTAGAAGGCAACTCAGAAGTATATTGGTTAGTAGGCAAAGCCAGTTTGGGATGGATTATTTCCTACTGATGATGCAAAGTTGTCTGTAATCTCTTTTTACAAAGCATCAGTTGAAAAGAAAGAGGCTGAAAATTTATAATGGAAAACTGTTAAAATGCCATTATCTAAATTGATTGGGAGAAGACACTTAAGTGGTTCTGTTTCTAAAAGACAAGTAGATTTCCCAGCATGAAATTTCTTTTATTTGACTCTGAAGGTGTCCTTTCTTGTAAAAATAAAGTAATAGATGTTCTTGTCCTACTTGATGGCCATTATGATACTCTTGTTTTTCTTGATTCTCACCTTTTATTGTGCTATTTCTGTTGATTGGCTTTTTTACACTTTGGTGAACTACAAATAAACATTTAGGCCATTTGACCTAAACACTCAATATGTGTTTTAGGATACATACCAAGGTATAAAATATTCTCAAAAATTGTACAAAATAGCACAACATTATACACAGTAATCATTTATGAGATGCTTGATAAGAAATAAGTTACCTTAAAGCTGCTGGTAAAATTTATTATTTGGAATTTCTGGGTAATGATGTATTTTGGTAAGACTTTTGGTGAAAAGCTTAAATAATGAAAGGTAGTAATTCAAATATAATCCTATCTTACTTGATAATTGAAACTCTTGTTATGCTTGAGGATCATATCTCTCAACAGCAGTTCTCACTGTACTGGCTTGTAAATGGATATTAGGGGATATTGGGTTAAATCTGGAATTACTATAGGACATAATTTTTTAAGTACTAACTCTGATTACTATAACTCTTAGTTCATTACTAATAGCTTGTTTTAAAAATCACTTGACTCTTTATTGCTAAGTAAAATCATGCAACAAGTTCAGTTAGCTGAAAGATCTGAGTGGTTGGATTTTACTAGTGTATTCATAAATTACTAACGTTCTATTGATTCTGATATCTGTTTTATGCATTGGTATGTCACTTTTCATATTGTAGATATTCAGTGAAACAATTATAGACGGATCTTTTGCCTAATGGTATCAATGGCTATTGCTGACAGATTTTAAAGCTCCAAATTTGAAAGTTTTAGATGATTATTTTATGAAGCACATGCCCTTTATTAGCAGCCTGTCTGCAATAGTTTATAAGACTGAATTTTGTACTTAAGAGTATAGTCACTGAGTATTAATTGAAAATTAGGAAGCATTTCTATTAAAACTTTCAAGAATGAAAAACACTTGTTTTTATATGATTTTTATAATTAGCAGCAGGAGTAAATTATGCTTGCTCT